ATAGGGCTCTGGAAGCTGAATTGGCTTCCCCGGCAAGGTTTGAGAAGACGCAACATCAATGTTGGGTTTTGAAGTTATGGTAATTTCCACTTCAAAAGATTGAGCTATGACTGAAGTTTACTTGTACTTGATTTGAGGATTTGTAGTCTTTTGGTATGGACCTGGAAATGTCACATCAGGGGGCTCTGGAGGAAGATTTGTAGTTTCCAGATATAGATGTGGAAATGTTGTCTCCGGGGGTTTTGGAGGAGGATTTGTAGTCCCCTTGTGAGGACGTAGAAGTGTTACCTCATGGGGCTTTGGGGGAAAAGCTGTAGGATTTTCAACCCCCACATTGGGCTCTGGAGTTATGGTGATTTCCACATCGTGGGGCTTTGGAGGAGCTGTAGGATGTTCAACCCCCACATTGGGCTCTGGAGTTATGGGGAATTCCACATAGTGGGGCTTTGGGGGAAAAGCTATAGGTTGTTCAACCCCCACATTGGGCTCTGGAGTTATGGGGAGTTCCACATCCTGGGGCTTTGGAGGAAAATCTGTAGGATTTTCAACCCCCACATTGGGCTCTGGATTTATGATGAGTTCCACGTCGTGGGGCTTTAGAGGAAAAGCTGTAGGTTGTTCAACCCCCACATTGGGCTCTGGTGTTATGGTGATTTCCACGTCATGGGGCTTTGGAGGAGCTGTAGGATGTTCAACCCCCACATTGGGCTCTGGAGTTATGGTGATTTCCACGTCGTGGGGCTTTGGAGGAGCTGTAAGATGTTCAACCCCCACATTGGGCTCTGGAGTTATGGGGAATTCCACGTAGTGGGGCTTTTGGGGAAAAGCTGTAGGTTGGTAAACCCCCACATTGGGCTCTGGAGTCATGGGGAGCTCCACATCCTTGGGCTTTGGAGGAAAAGCTGTAGGATTTTCAACCCCCACATTGGGCTCTGGAGTTATGGTGAGTTCCACGTCGTGGGGCTTTAGAGGAAAAGCTGTAGGTTGTTCAACCCCCACATTGGGCTCTGGAGTTATGGGGAGTTCCACGTAGTGGGGCTTTGGGGGAAAAGCTGTAGGATTTTCAAAAAGCAAAAAGTCAGTCAATGTGGGTTGGGGAGATGAGAAAGGTCC